GAGAGTGAGAGAGTGAGAGAGTGAGAGAGTGAGAGAGTGAGAGAGTGAGAGAGAGAGAGAGAGAGAGAGAGAGAAAGGCAGAACTGGATCCGGACTCTGAGCTGTCAGCCCAGAGCTGGATGAGAGGGGCTTGAACTCAAGAGCTAGGAGATCATGACCTGAGGTGATGTCAGATGCTCAACCGACTGAGCCACCCAGGCGCCCCCACCCCTTTTCCTTTAATATGCAAGGTCAAACCTAAATTCCTAGAAGAGCAAGGCAGGTAACCTAATCAGGTAAAACAGATTCCTGGGCACCATAAAAGATCAGAATGTTTTACAGGAGCAGACTCACTGTGCAGAACTTTCTGTATTTCCAAAGAAGTTGAAAATTTTCTATTTCTCCTGTCTTAAAATGCTGACAACTGGGACACCTGGGTGGCTCAGTCAGTTAAGTGGCCAGACTCTTGATTTTGGCTCAGGTCATGATCTCATGGTTTGTGAGACTGGGCCCCTGAATTTGGCTCCATGCTGACAGCTCAGAGTCTGCTTGGGATATTTCTCTCTCTCTTTTCTCCCCTCCCCTGAGCATGCTCTCTCTCATATTAAACATTTTAAAAAATAAGTAAAATGTTAACTTAAAAGTTTGTTACTGTTGTTTTTTAAAGTAAGCTCTATGCCCAATGTGGGGCTTGAACTCACAACCCTGAGATCAAGAGTCACATGCTCCTCTGAGCCAACCAGTCACCCTGACAACTAATTTAAACAAAAGACATCTGACAACCAAACACAAACCATGGATTGCTACATTGGTATTTCTACGGGAGGGAAACAAATTTCTTTCCTAAAAAGCATAAACTCAAAACCCCCAAAACATCTCTTTCATCTGGGAACGGTCTCCCAACCCAGCTTTCCAACAACTGACATTTACATCCCCCATAAATTTTTATTTCTTCATATAACACTGCTGAAATTTTACCTGCAGGAGGAGGTGGAACAGAAGCTTCTCCAGAGGTCCTACTGCTGGGTGAAGACACAGTCTTGGCACCACCTCTCAGAGGCCGCTGTGCCTTAGGGGACATGCGGGAAGGGCCTATTTTTTTTTTTTTTTTTTTAAGATGGGGAAAAAAGAGGCAGAGTATCTGCTATTACATTATCACCAACGCATCACCCTTCCAACCCACCTATCCTTTCAATTCTCCTTCCCACTTCCTTCCTATCGGCTTCCCTACCACCGCCCCCTGCCCCGCAAAGCCCGCTTAACTCACCTCCATTGATACCACGTGTCTCAGAACCTGGGCTGGGGCTGCTATTGTCAAGATGGTGAGGGCCACGAGGTGGCAAAGAGCTAAGGCCAGGGCGGCCACCCCGGGAACTACTGCATCGAACTCCTCCCCGGGGACCTTCCCGAACTCGTTGGGGTAGAGGGATATACTTTCCCTCCCTAGGGGAGAGAGTTCAAGCAAGGTCGATTAGTCATAAAGCCCACACATTTTGGAAAAATGAAGTTTTCCCTCCCAAAACACACGTGTACATGTATACACACACATACCCTGCCTGGCTCCGGCTTTTTGCACTGCCCCACCTGAAAATCTGTTCTAGTTAAATGTTCTGTGGCTATAAGGCTTGTGGTCTTATGATGTGCCAATCCCTGACCTGACCAACCTGGCCAAAGCTCCACATTCTACCATCCTGACCTCTGAGAAAAATAGTATCACGTTATAGTTCAAGGTACAGCTTTTACAGGTTACTGTTACTGGACATCATGTACACTCTGATTTCATTTGCATGAAGGGAAGAATAAGACCTACAAATGGATTAACTTGCAGAGCAAAAAAGGGGAATCAAACTCATTTTTTCCTCCCTAAACCCACAAGCTTTAATCTTTGTTACCTTGAACAAATTACTTATCTGCTCTAGGCCTCACTCTTACACCTGAAAATTGGGGAAAACTACGTACTAACCTGTATCTTACATGGCTGTGAAACTTAGAAAGGAGTGTACAAAGCTCTTGGCCCCAGCCCTAGCCCGTACAGAGCCCCAAACAGACCAGGCCGCCCCCAGCAATCACCTGGATGCCAGGCTGGGGCTCTCCCGCCCTGAACCCTGCCGTTGGACTGCACTGTGCTTCTCTTCCTCAGTGCGCCCATCATCGTTCTCCATGGCGATCCGCAGGCGGTACTGGGGGCTTGATTCAATCTCTCGAGCCAATTGGGCCGCACGCAGCTCCCGCTGACGAAACTCTTCCGAGTTGTCTTTCTCCAAGGGCACCCTAAGAGGACCACCACAGATCACCACCACCCCAGTGCCAGGGGACAAGAGAAGAAAAAGGAAAAACGTTTCTATCGGTCCTATCACCAGTTCAGGCGTGTGGATGTTTAATCCCTTCAACAACTCAACATATTTAATGGGCATCTACTAGGTCCCAGGCAGAGCAACAAGGCCTATCTCTGAACCTGAGGAGTATTTACACGCACATATCAGTATGTTTTAAGTTCTAGAAGAAAAGCATGGATAAACGGACAAAAAAGCAGTTAATTCTACCAACGAGATGGCCTGGTATTTTGAGGGGACAATACACAAGACAGATTAGGAGTGGGGAGAGGACATCCTAGATACCCAGAAAAGAATGAACAAATGCCACGACCCTAGGCCTCAAACTGCATCATCTAGGAAGTACCAAGACACTCACGTATAAGAAGAAAGACTGCTATCATAGGTGGTCTTCACACCATAGTTCTCCTCGTTGAACTTGAACATTTCATTGGGGTCCCATCCGTTGGACTAAGGTGGGAAGGAAGGAGAATGTTTTAAAACCCAACAAGGAAAGCAACAATGACCTGTCATTCTCCTCCACCAGGCTGAAAAAAAAGATCTGACCAAACCAGGCGTGGAAAATAGAAACAAGGCTGGCAGGAATATCAACTAGTACTAGCAATTGTAGGACAAACTGCTAACAACTAGTAAAACCAAGGTCTTACAGGACCTAACAAATCCCTTACCAGGTTAATGTCCCAGAAAAATTTAGCGTACGTGCATGGGGACACATGTTCTAAAGTTCAGCAAGGCACTATTTTTTTTTTTTTTTGAAAGACAGAGAGAGACAATGCCCGAACAGGGGAGGGACAAAGAGAAAAGGGGAGACACAAAATCTGAAGCAGGCTCCAGGCTCTATCAGCACAGAGCCCTATGCGGGGCTCGAACGCATGAACTGTGAGATTATGACCTGAACCGAAGTCAGACGCTTAACTGACTGAGCCACCCAAGTGCCCCTGTAAGGCACTATTTCTAACAACAAAATAATAAGTCAAAACACCAACCAGTAAAGAAAAAAAAAAATACATTGTTGTATATATATCCATGTATACGTATAGAAACAGAATAAGACAAAATCACTAAAAGCATTGAGTAGATCATGAAATGCCTCAAACATGAAATAATTCAGGAACAACAGAAAGGGAAAGAAAATTCTTGTATGGATTAACTACAGCATCATAATGCCTTAACTCATGAGGAATTTTAAATGATTCATAGTAGTGCTTGTTTTTGGAAGGGACATGGGTCCACACGGTCCTCGATCTTGTCTATACTTTGTTAATTAGGAAAAAAAAAAAAAAAAAAAAAAAAAAACACCTTCAAGCAAACGTTAATAGTTGTCAATCGCAGATGTTGGGAGAACAGGTATTTTTGTTTTATTTTCTGTACCTTTCCATTTGGAATCGGACTGCCAACAACAGGCAACAGTAAGAGATTTTTCTCCCCTTCCCCAGAAGCAACTCTTGGTTCTACGACATCACAGTCAACAACCCACACTCAGACAGTAGAGTGACCCAGCTCTCGGGTTCTCAGGGAAGGGGACCGTACCATGTCAGACTCGAGGTCATAGTCATCACTGTTGCTGTCACCCCCTTCCCAGCGCTGAAGCACCTTCTCTTTGTGCTCCCCATTCACTTTTGAGTTCATGGCAATGGCTGAATCCGTAAACTTGTCTGTGGGGGCAGAGTTGAAGATCAGGAGTCAAGAGATACTTCATAGCCTTCTTCCAACACCCCCTGCCCCCAATGAGTAGTTCAGGAGCAAAGAAAAGTTTGCGTGTGTCAGAGGTGGGTGAGGGTGGATGCAACATAACAAGCCACATCTTAACTGTCCAAAAGAAGCAAGGAGTTAAAAGCAAAGCAAGGAAAATGTGAAGAACTACACCACAGGCCGGAATTCATCCCACTGCATCTTAGGTATCGAGATACAGTTTCAAAAAGAAAAATCTGGCCATCCTCCTCAAAAAAAAGATGTTTGTAAAGGGGGAAGAAGAAGAACAAGTCCTTACGTAACTGCTCTATGCCCTCTACTCAAAGAGTGGGTCTGGCATAAAAACTCGACACGGTACCTTTAGTAGCATAATTGAAGTCAACATTTCGGAAGTGGACAAGCATGACATCACTTGGCTTAAACACCATGGTATCCACAATGTCTTCCCGACAAGGACCACCTGCTGGCTCAGATGCTTTCCGGTGTACAGCATCCACGGCTAGTTCAAACTATAAAAATCCCATTTCCCAACAGTAAAGGGTCAATATCAAGAAATGTGATGGTCAAAATAGGACTATTTTTCTCCTACCCTTTCTAACCTTTTTCCAACACCACAGTCACACAAATAGTCTTCTGAACATTAGCCACAGGACTAGTATTTTAACACTAAAGTACCCAGCCCTCAATTTTCCAATCCACATATTTTTAGTGCTTCCAGCACTACTCTGGTACAGGCCTAGAGAAATGAGTAACACACACCACAAGCCTGTCCAACACCACTCAACTCACATCTTCAGTGAGTCTATTTCATTCTCCTTACATGCCACTGCAAAAATAAGCTAATTTGAGTCCACTAACCTTTGAGCTCAGAGTCTTGAAGATACCTTCATACGTGGTACCATTCTTCACCTTCACATCACAAGTGGAGCCCTGGAACAGAGGAATAAGAAGAGTGTCTCCAGCAAACTGGCGTACTACATCCCTCAAACAACCTACGGGCTAGGAACCCACTTACCACAACAGCTGTAAGAAAATGCAGCATTCTGGAATTGCTGTAAACACCCTCGAACACCTGTCAGTAACACAGAAGAAATAGACACTTGACACCTCCCCTTCCTTCTGAATATTCACACTCCCCTCACATCATTTCTTATTCTGAGCCCAACTATCTGTGCACCTAATCTGTCCCATATGCCCACATGTACCTCTGTACTTTGGGGTGTGTGTGTTGAGGAGGCACTCACCGGTGACTGTGGGGGGCCCTTTCCTGTGCTTTGTCCCCTATGAGAGGAAACAAAAAACTAGTTAAAAGTGTTTAATCCCTCTTATACGATTTATTTCAAAGAACGTGGTATCCGACAATCACATACCCTGTGAACATGCCTATTTAGACTACAAACCAATTAACAAGATTTTCAAACTCTCACCTTACAGAGGAAGAAGGCATAGACAGTAAAAGCCAGTAAACACATTTCCTCCAAATGCCACTAAAACAGACCTCAATCAGCAATGGTTGTCAATTCAACACAACCTTCTCACCTCCAAGGGGCCAGGACTACAGGCTTCCCCCAAAAACGCTACAGTAATCGTTAACCAATAATCCACCTCAAACATAAAAGTGAAAGCAGATTCAGAACTACCCAGTTTACGCACGTTACCTCTCAAAACAGAAAAGACAATCATTTTCACCAGCCTTACGCCCCAAACTCTGGGAGGAGGGTACTCCTTTTAGGACCCACCCTCCTCTCGACCTCTTTTACTCATTCAATATTACCCACTCTGGGAGGGGTCACTGATCGCCCGGTAACCCTGTTCTTCGCTGGCTGATGTAACCGGCGGTTGAGGAGGGCGATGAGGGGGCCGTTGGCGGGGCTGGGGGACAGCGCAGCCGCAAAAGCCATCCACCGGGAGGCCTCGCCCGGCCTGCGCCTGCGCATTAAAGCCCACGGGCTTCCAAAATCCCCCCTCCGCGGCCAGAACCCACTGCGCCTGCGTGTACCGCCACTCTCAAGTCCATTAACCCACACGCAGAAGAAGCCGAGTGGGGTGCCCACCACTCATCCATGAACACCAGGCGAACCCCGCCACGCACACTCCCAAACCCTGCCCTGTAGGTTACCCGCGGCTCACGAATGCCCGGGTCATAAGACAGAGCATCCGCGCGCACGTACGGGAAGAGCGCGCGCGCGCTGGAGGTTCCCTGCCCGCAGTCCTCCCAGTTGTCCCTCCTTCCGTTCCCCCGCCCACCCCGCTCCCCTCCTACTGGCCAGACCGGGAAGGAGGTGGTAGCAACCCGCTCCCAAGTCCCTCCCTCCCCATTGGCCAAACTGTGGGCCGCGCGCCCCCCTCCATTGGCTACGGCCGGGGACCCCTTCCCGCAGCTGACTCCCCATTGGCTGAAGCCGGGGACCGCGAGACCCTTCGTGGTAATGGAGCCGGGGACCCGATCACCTCTTCACCCCCCCAACTCCTCGTTCTGACGGCGCTGGCGGGATGCGCCCCGCCTGCCCTTAAGGCCCGAGCCCTGACTAGGCTCTGAGAGCTGAGCACAGCCCTTAAATGTCCCGGTGGCCGCCCGGGGACCCCTTCCCTCTGACCTGTTAGGACCTGAGGGGGCCCACCCCCAGCCTCACGGGAATTCCTCACTTTCCCCGGGCGCCCCTCAAAGGTGGCCAGGCTAGGTACCCGCCACGCGCGGTGTCCTCGGGTGCCGGCCGCTGGGCCGGAGCCGAGCGGCGCCGCCGCCCCGCAGCTTAGCCTCCAGCGCCCGGAAACCCACCCCTCCTCACCTGGCGCTGCCGATAGCCGCTGCCCCTGGCCTTTCCTGATGTTGCTGCGGCGGCGGCGGCTGCGGCGCCAAAATGCCCTCGGCTCCCCGGCGGAGCCCGCTCCCGGCGGCTGCTGCAGGCCCCAAGCAGGGAGTAGCGGCCGCGGGAGGCCCTGGGGGAGCCGAGGTGGAGGCCAGGGGCCCCGGGAGGCCGCCGTTGGGAGGGCTGGTGCCCCCGGGAGGCCGGCGGGCCACGGCCTGTTGCGTGGGGGGCGGCTGCTGGGGCTGGGAGGTCTGTTGTGGCGGCTGAGGCTTCAACATGATGGCAGCGTCCGGAAGGGGAATTAGGGGGAAGGGAGGGAAAGAGGAGGCTGGGGCTAGGCCCCCGCCGGAGAGCGCGGGAAGCGAAGGGGATTGGGAAGCTGGGGACCCGCCGTTGGCGGGCGGGGGGGAGCCCCGCGGTGTCGGGGGTGGACAGAGACGACCGCGGCTCGAGGAAGCGCCGCGAGGCGGAAGGGGAGGGGGGGTCCCGCGGGCCGGAGGAAAGCGAGAGGGCGCGAGCCGGCCTGGCGCGCGTGCGCGTCGCCGGGGAAAGAGGAGGAGCGCGCGGGCGGGAGCTCCCGAAGGGGGAGGGGCGGGCAGGAGGGAACGGCGGCGCGAGAGGTCCGCGCGCACCGGGGCGGTTGGCTCCGGGCGGGAGAGGAGAGAAAAAGGCGAATCTCGCACCCCTAGCCTTTGGAGTGGGGAAGGAGCAGCGCGGGCGCTCACGCGCGCCAAAGATTTAGAATCCCTAGGTCTCGAACAGCCCTAGGGGTTGATGCCCGCTGTCGCTTCACAATGAGCGTGTGAAGCGCTAGGGGAGGAGCCGAAGTAGCCGAGAGGAAGGAAGAGCCGGCCGCCCCGCCCACGCCGGTGGCGTAGCGTCAGGATGCCTCCGCATTTGTGTGAGATGTCACGACGTAGCGTGCAGTTCTTCCGCCATTTGGGTGCTCGTGGGCGGAGTCTAAGTGCAAAGAAATCCCGGGTATAGACTAGCGACTGCCCCTCTTCGGGGGGTGGTGGTGGGCTTCTTGAGGAGCTATTCTTGACCTTGTCTGCTTTAAATAAAAGACTGACAGACACTCAACATGCTGTAGATAAATGTATGCTAAATCCTGAAGTATTTTAAACGTAAGTGATTTAAGACCTAAATGGGTTCTCCGTGCCCTAGAATGAACCCTTAAACTGTAGTGACGGAGAGAATGTTTGAAGGTCAAAGTACTTAGGGTCTAATTCAAAATTCTTGATACTCACCTCTGCGATGAAGCCAGGCTTCATCCATTCAAAATCAGTTGGGCATTAGGACATTAGGCTGGATGCACTGGATACAACTGTAATTTGACCGCTTCGTGTCTTCAAGGAGTTTAAGCTAGTTGTAGACCCAGACAATTAGATGAGATCTATCAGGTGAAGCGTATGAGCACAGATAGGAGTTCCACTGAATCCAGCGTTGGGTGATGAATTGCTAGGCAAGGGGAATAGGATGTGATGAGATAAAACGTCAACGTGGCAGGAATACAAAATTAAAGAAGTTTTTTTTTTTTTAATTTTTTTTTCAACGTTTATTTTTTATTTATTTTTGGGACAGAGAGAGACAGAGCATGAACGGGGGAGGGGCAGAGAGAGAGGGAGACACAGAATCGGAAACAGGCTCCAGGCTCCCAGCCATCAGCCCAGAGCCCGACGCGGGGCTCGAACTCACGGACCGCGAGATCGTGACCTGGCTGAAGTTGGACCCTTAACCGACTGCGCCACCCAGGCGCCCCAAAATTAAAGAAGTTTTTAAAAAATGAGAGTTGGACATTATGCTCAAAGTAGTGGGGAGCCTTTCACAGAAAAGGAAGAGGCCAGATTTACATTTTTAGAGGAGTACTCTGCAATGTGGAGAATGGAGTAGAGCAGCGATGACTCTGGTCTTAATCCCAGTGAAACTTTCAGTATGTCAATGTTCCTTCACTCCAGGCATTAGCATTGGAAGCCTTCCCAAACCCTCTACCACAAACACGCACAATATCTAGCTAAAAGTCACCCTTCCTTTTTGGGAAGTATGCCTTCACCCGTGTCTCACTCCAGGCATCGAGTGTGTTAGGTTCCCCTCCTGTGTGCTTGCCAGGCAAATTGCTCCGCTTCGTTCTAAGACCTCCTTTAATTCTGTCTCGCTTGTGTCCGCTCCCTAAGAGTTGGGATCCTACTCTTACTGTACCTGCAGTGCCTCGCACAATACAGGTAGTCAATTGAATAGTTATGAAAGAAATGGATCCGAGTGGTAGCTTAAAGACTATGTCTCCTGGATGCCTAAATAATACAGATCTGGCGTTTTCCTGGTATCACTGGCACCACTGGGTGCCCTGCCACCTCTCCAGCCTCTTTATGGGCACTTCTGTCTCCTCCACCTGCAGCAAGTCCTAAGTTTTAGCCTCATGAAACTCCCATTTTCACGACACACCTTGCTCTTTTCCAACTCTTCCTTTACTTGTGCTGTTTCTTCACCTACCTTCTCGTTCGTCAAGCTCAAGTGTCCATTCTTTTGAACAGCCTGTTACCCACTCACTCCTTCAGGCTCTCAGAGTACTGGGATGGTTTTGCTTCTACGGACCCCGAGGTTATAAAGGGCAGGGACTATATTTATTCATTTCCCTATCTTTTATGTCTAGCTCAGTGGCTGGCACACAGTCACTCAAATTATTTGGTAAGTGAATGGAACGTTGTCTCACTATATGCAATTTAGAAATTATATCACTGTGATTTGATATGGAATGATTTCCAGGAAGAAAGCAAAGTTTATAGTCTGTGCTACCTCTTGTTCACAGAAGGGAAAATAAAGAAACAAATGTATCTGCAAATTTTTGCAAAGGAAAGCACAAAAAGTATAACCCCCAAACTAATAAAATCGGTTACCTAATGAGGGTTCCTGGGTTGTTGTTTATGTTCTTGTGGAAGGAAACAACAGAGGGCGCGTGGGTGGCTCAGTCGGTTAAGCTTCCGACGTTGGCTTAAGTCGCTATCTGGCGGTTTGTGAGTTCAAGACCCATGTTGGGCTCCATGCTGATAGCTCAGAGCCCAGAGCCTGCTTCAGATTCTGTGTCTCCCTCTCTCTCTGCCCCTCCACCGCTCACACTCTGTCTCTCTCCCTCAAAAATAAAGAAGCATTAAACATTTTTTTGAAAGGAAAACAACAGAGCTCTGGAGAGAGGAAGACACTTCTTTGAGTATACCTTTTCATATAACTTGGACTTTTCAAATCATGTTTAATGGTCAACACTTTCTTTTTTTAAAACTTTTCTTAAGTTTACGTTGAGAGAGAGAGGCAGAAGAAAGCATGAGCAGAGGACAGGCAGAGAAAGAGAATCCTAAGTAGGTTCCACGCTCAGTATGGAGCCTGACGAGGGGCTCCATCATGAGTTCATGACCTGGTCCAAAATCAAGAGTTGGATGCTTAACTGGCTGAGCCACCCAGGTGCCCCCAATTTTTTTTTTTTAATGTAAGCTCTACGCCCAACGTGGGGCTTGAACTCACAACCCCGAGATCAAAAGTCTCATACTTCATTGACTGAGCCAGCCAGGCACCCCTAATGGTCGACCTCTTCAAAAAGTGAAATCAACAGAGATGGATGGTAGCTAAAATCAGAATATAGACATAAATAAACGATCCCAACTCTATTTTAGATGAGTGAAAGTGACCCACTGAAAGAGGAAAAATAGAACTAATTCAAGTAACTTTCAGGCACTCTCTGCCTACAGAAAAAAGAACTGCAAACCTTAAGTTCTTAGTAGTAGGTTTGCTATAGTGATAGTGGCATAGCAATTCTGAAATTACCTTGGGTATGGGGATTGAACATGCAAGTAAACAGACATTGCTGAGAAGGAGGATTATCATGCGGAAGTAGGGAAAAGCAAATATGGAAGGAAAGAAGTGAGCAAAACTTTAGTGGGGCTGGATCAGAACAGGAAATATCAGTATAAGATTTATGGGGAAAAAATAGATGATAGATTGACTGATTTACACATACCTAGTTCCCAGATCTTGGCTTCTAAATATTCCACAGAAAGATCCCAGGTCCCAGGGCCCTTTGAAGCTTCCTTCCTGATTCCAGCTTGGGGAGGAGCAAGGAAGATACCAAGGGAGTTTGGAATATTTTGTTGTGCCAGGAAGTAAGTACTAAAAAAAGTATTAGGGCATTAAAGGGACATAGGAACCATCGTGAAGAGGCCAAACCTGACACAGTTTGAGGATCCACAATATAGAAGTATAGTAATAGGTTATAACCCATTGAATAAAAGAGGAATCCATACATCCATACTGTTAATAGGTATAAATATACATGCATACACACACAAAAAGAAACATACAAGAGAAATAGCAAGACTGTATTCTTCAAAACTGTTCCATGGCATGAAAGACAAAGAAAGGTTGAGGAACTGTTCCAGGTTAAAGAAGGCTAAAATGACTAACAATAAATGAACTAGAGGGGCGCCTGGGTGACTCAGTCGGTTGAGCGTCCGACTTCGGCTCAGGTCATGATCTCGTGGTCTGTGAGTTCAAGCCCCGTGTCGGGCTCTGTGCTGACAGCTCAGAGCCTGGAACCTGCTTTGGATTCTCTGTCTCCCGCTCTCTCTGCCCCTCCCCCACTCATGCTCTGTCTCTGTCTCTCTGTCTCTCTGTCTCTCTCTCTCTCTCTCTGTCAAAAATAAATAAACATTAAAAAAAAAGTGAACTAGATCCTGGCCTAGATCCAGGAAGAAAAAAAAAAACTGCTATAAAAGACATGGAGAAAATGGACAAATTTGTAATATAGACTGCATAATACATCCAGGATAATTTCCTGAATGTGATAACTATTGTAGATGTGTAAAAGTATATTCTTAGTAAATATGCATTTAAGTATTCTATGGGGTAAAGGAGTATGATATATCCAACCTGCTTTCACCTGGTTCAAATTATGTGTATGTATTTTCTTTATGTTCACACAGAAAAAATGATGAAGCAAATATGGCACAATGTGAACTAGTGGATCTGGATAAGCTTTATTTTTCTTTTTTGTTTATTTTAAGATTTTATGTTTAAGTAATCTCTACACCCAATGTGAGGCTCAAACTCACAACCCCAAGATCAAGAGTTGCATGTTCTGACTGAGCCAGCCAGGGGCCCCATTCCGGGTAAACTTCATACTGAAGTTCGTTGTAGTAGCCTTTCAACTTCCTTGTAAGTTTGAAATTATGTTCAAAATAAAGAATTTACATATAAATAAGTAAATGTCATTGTAACACCCCTAAAGTTAGGG